AGAAATTCTGCATCTGGCTGGCTAGTAGAGTTTCAGTTAGCTGAGGTAGGATGGGAATAACAAAATTAGAAAGCCATGCTGGAATTTCCAGCATTGGCATCCTTACAATGAAAATAATAAATCTTCTCCCTTCCATACTAGAATAAGAAAATTATACAAATAAAATTTTCATGTCCAAAAATATTTTCATGTCTATTACATATTAATATATGTTTACATAGTTTGTACCATATAGATTTTATCTTTATACAAAGGGAAATTGGTAGATTGTATTGCTTCTCATAGAATGAATGTGTATGTGTATAAAATAAAAAAGTAGAATAAATATTCTGTAACATCCTAGAATATTAGAAAGCAGATAGTGATTGTTAACATTTGTCTTAGTTTATCCTATGTTCTCACCTTAAAAGATACAAGGTGCCTTTCAAAGATGATTATTCAAGGATGTAGAAAGAGCTGCAGTCAACAGGGATCAGCCTGGATTTATTCATTCAGATCATATTACTTTCCATCTTAAAAGAAGAAAAAGAAATTAAACTATTTCCCAAATCAGTTACTCTACATGATGATTCTATTCCTAAATATCTTCCCAATTCTAGTTTAGATAGTTTAGTACACATATTGAGATTTCTAGATGTTAACATCCATGCACATTATGATTCATTTAAGGTTAGGAATTTTTGCTGGTGAGTTATCAGTCTGTCTAACATTTTTGCATTTAATTGACCTTCTTTGCTACAAAAGGACATTTGAAAAATTCAGTAAGAATCCTACCCATCAGCTCCATGATGTCTTAAGCAAAAAAGTCCTTTTCTTTACTCTTAGTAGTCAATGGTTTTACTTCATGTTCTTAATTCAAATTTGACCTTTTTGTTTTTCAAAACCCACAGTATTTACTCACCCACAAGAAAACAAGGACAGAGAACATGTCTCCTCCTCCTCAGGAGTCCAGTGGCAGGGAGTGTTCAGTGAAGAATAATTTTACAGCAAATTAGCCAATGCCCAGGTTGTACGCTGATTAACACAACAGGGACCATGGGCCTGGTGGCAGCCAATGACTTTAACCATGCCATTAAAAACAAGTTTTGCATGTTCTAAAGAGACACTGTTGTGATTGTTAGTCATGTAGTTCTTCAACAATCTGAGTTTTTATTGTTGCTCGAGACCTCTTAAAGAATAACTAAATTATACCTTGTCAAGATATGAATTAAAATTTATCTCTACTTGCTTGCATTTTTTCCAGTGACACAATTTTTGAGCCTTTTTTATGTCTATGAAATAAAATACAGTATTTATGAGGTGCATATTTGGTGAAACTGTTTGAAATTCAACAGATAAATCTTTTGCATATTTGCATTTTTTTTTTAGCCTCTGAGTCATTCCAGTGACTTTACTGGAATAGTAAAAGACACTAAGACAATTGCATTGAGGATTAAATAGGATATTCTTTTAAAAACTCAGGACACTTGCCAATACTAAAGCAATATCTATGATTCTATTATTTACTAACAGTATTGGAATACAAAATATAACTATGTATGGGAATCACTTTCTATTTTTTTAAATTATTCATTAGACAGTTAATCAATTATTATCATTAAATCTAAACAGCAAAGGAATTTTCTATCATTGCACATTATATAAATAATAAAAGTTCCAGAAAATGAAGCATTGTCTAAATTTGCGGATATAGCTCTAAAATTAAACAGAAAGTAGAAAATTACCCAGAGTACTAAACACAAAGGAAGATGACTAATGCTGTTCCCCCCAATACAATTTTGCTAAATAACATATTTTACAATATAAGGAAAAAACAGAAATCTCAGTCTTGGTCATAGGTTTACTAATTGGCTGCTCTACGGTGTACATCAAAACAGAAATTCATGGCATCACTGGTGCAACACTATGAAGACTTTTCATGGGGTAACCAATGACTCTTTTGGTTGGATTTGAGGATTATTCCACAGGAAGGACCTGCAAGCATGGTCACCACCCATGAATTGGGAGAGACTAGGCCCTAGAGAGGAAAGTACTGATATTGATTTTCTAAATAATCATGCTGTTACACTTCCTTTTAAATATGACTATGCATAGATTCATGCTGCTATCAACTGTTGAGCTCATAAACTCAGTAACAGATGTGTTTACCTGCACAATAGCTGAATAAGACCAAGCCAGTTTAAAATAACCATATGGTAGGGGATAAAGAATGGTTCAGTGGTTAAGAGCACTTGCTCATGTAGAGGACTTGCCTTCAGTTCCCAGGACCCAGATGACAGCTCACAAGCCTTCAGAACTCCAGTATACTGTCATGGTCTCTGTGAGTTCATATGTGTATAAAACCTGTTGTGTCTGGAAGACACTGTGTCCTCAGTCGGTCATCACCTATTAGATCTTAAGTCTTTCTGTATCTACTTCCATGTAGATTTCTAAGCTTTGAGGGGAGAGGTTTGATAATGACATCCCATTTAGGGCTGAATATGCCAATATTTCTCACACTTTGCACTTTGTCCAGTTGTGGGTCTCTGTACTAATTATCATCTACTGCAAGAAGAAACTTCTCTGTGGAAGGTTTGTGATGTGCACATGAGACTTGCACAAGTTCAGAATAGTCAAAAAAGTCCATGACTGAAAGAGGGGAAGTGTAAACAAAGTCCCAAACCCAACCAAGAAGCTATTTGCAATTGATCCCTCATTGGGAAAGGAAAATGGAGTGACACTGGGTATAATAACCACACTCCAAGGGAAGGCTCTATGCTAAGAACAGTTGGCCAAAACAAAGCAAACTCCATTTTTTGTGTGTATGTGCTTTTTAGTTTGGTTTGGTTTGTATCATTTGCACCCCCATTGGAGTGTGTGTGTGTGTGTGTGTGTGTGTGTGTGTGTGTGTGTGAGAGAGAGAGAGAGAGAGAGAG